AGAGAGTGAGTGTGTGCATGCAGGAATGTATAGGGAGAAGAGATGGAGGGTGAGAGCATGATGAAAGAGAAGGAGAGATAGAAACTGTAATATAGGCAAGCAAAACTTTAATGGGGCAGAGAATAAAGAAAATGGGGAGAGAGGAGAAGGAGAGGGCTGAAAAACTGCTGTGCTGTGTGCAGAGCAAAAATGAGATGGGTCAACAAAGGAGAAGCAGTGTGCCATTGCATATGTTTCATTTGTGGCAGTGCGTCATATCTGTTCACACTTTTGCATGTTGATTAATAGTCAAGATGTGTACTTTTGTAAATGTAAAAGCTTGCGTTTGTGTGTACGTGCATGCTGACTTACGAAGGAGCAGCATGCTGACGTTGGAAGCCCCCAGACGGTTTGAGGCAAAGCAAGTGTAGTTGCCAAAGTGTTTCTCTGTCACATTGGTGAACACCAACAGTGAGCGTGTCTTCTCGTTTTTGATGTTCAGGGTGTTGTCACTCTCCACCGGCCTGGGTGGTAGCGGTGGGTGAGTAAAAGTGAAAGAAGGAAGGAAAGTAGGAAGAAACAGAAAAAGTGTGACAGAGAAAGAGAGAAAACACAACATAACATCACACCCAGTGACTCATCCCAGAGGAGAGGCTGTTTTTCTCTGTCTCTCCAGAGAGCACCACACATTGACTCTGCCTCACCTTGTACTAATAGTGAAATCTAACAGTCCATAAATAACGGAGACCTCCTGCTGGGGCCCATTATACTCTATTAACATCTCTCTCTGGCTGGCAAAGGCTTGTCTAAGTATTTTGGTGCCTTGCTTTGCTTGATGCCAAATCGCCCTATGCTCTCCAAGACCTTTTACAAACTTGGAGAGGCCACTGATGAGTAAGTAATAGAAAGAAAATAGATTTCAATAGATTTCCAACAAGCTAATATTTCAGTTCTTTATTATAGCAGAACTGACAATGTATTAGTTCTAATGAACATAGATGGTGATTTGATTGTGTCTCATAAAAGATACATGTTAATCAGGAATGCTATTATTCCATTGCAGCTGCACTGAGATGTCAACCAATTAATGTTAGTGTTACGAAATAAAAATACAGAATCATTATGACACCTGTATTGTGTTATATTGAAATATAAATTTTGTGCTCACACGGTGAATCAAAGGGAAAGTTGTCATTGCTCTTAAAAGCACAGTTTTTAACATCAAGACTAAAATGCAAGGCTGGTGGGAGTTATACAGTTTGCACAGCACCTTTCCAAATGCTACAAAAACTTTTGCTTGCTTAGGATCAAAGGTCTTTGAGAAAAAACAGACCTTTTAGATTTAGCTGCCTTAGTGTGAACATCATCAAACAGTTTGGCACTGAACGTGTTGGTGGTCTCACCTGTGGTCATCTCTGTACCACTCGAAGGAAGCTGGGGGGACTGCCATGGCTTCACAACGCAAGATAGCAGTCTTGCCCAAATGGGCTGGCATATTCTTCTTGTCTGTAATCATGGGAGGGTCTGGAAGATGAAACACGGGAGGAAAGGAGGAAGAAACAGAAGGGGGGAAGTCAGCAATTAGTATACATCTGCCCTCACTGAGAAGTTGAGTCAGGTCAGCCCAGGCTTGCCCACAAGGTTGAGAACCCCCGAAGAGCACAAAATTAAGATGAATGAATTCATACATAATAATGCATGTATAGTATTTACATAAAGTATATGATTAATACCCCATTATGCTATAACATGGGGCCAAGTTGAATCATCACCACAGGGCTGTTGTTTGGCACAAAGATACTTACAGTTGACCGTGACCTTGACTCTGCGCTGATCGGGCGGAGCCACTCCATTGTTGGTGATGCATTCATAGTCCTCCGCCTGCTGCCTCTTGATCTCAGTGATGTCTAGGAACTCCCCCTCACTCACCAGCCCATCTATCGACATGCCATAAGATGCCACAGGTCACTAAACATCAAATGGAAGGTGACTACTGATTTAGGGTTTACTACTTGAGGCGAAACTGTAGTTGAGTTGTTCTTACAGACAACACGATTTAAGGGGCTTGAAAGCAGCAACTCCTATATAGATAACAACACATAATGTATTATTTATATTTTGGGAAATACTGGTGGGAAGCAATATCTTGATTTTGATAAGACTATATACATAAAATTAATATGAGTTAAATTCCACAAAAACATGATACTGAATTATCGATCAGCTCTAATGAAATATGTGCAATCAAGAAAATCTCCGCCTGCATATTTGTCTCATGACCCAAACTAAGGGCCCCAGGCTAGTTTGTTGTTTGTTGGTGAATTTTTGTATCGATTCAAGGTAAGACAACATGATCTGACAGCAGTGATGCCATTACCTTTATAGTATCAGGGGAAATTGCAAGCCTTTCTTCCAAGCAGTGGACACACCAGGGGGTGACAACTTGTTCACCACATTACATAGTGGGAAGAAGATTTGCCTGTTATTTGAGGTTGACAAACTCCCAGATGCCCCCAGAACCAAATTAGTCAATCTCACACATTCACTTGTTTTCACTGGGTGAAAAACAGCCTCAGAATCTCTTCAGAGGGGAGGCTGGAAGGGACGGGCTAAGGGATGGTGGCAGAGAGAGAAAGAGAGCAGAGACAGAAGAAAAAAAAGAAGAGCGAGAGTGTACCCCCCATCACCTCCCCGCAAGTCTTAGCAGCCAGCTGTCTCCCAGCCTCCAGAACCATTAGGCCCTTCTTCCTCCCCTTTACCCCCATTAAAGAAGCCACACTGTGGAACACGACATAGTATATAATCTCGCCACTAACAAGAAATTCCAGCTCTTGAATTACTGCTCACTTTTCTTTCTCAACCCCCTACCCCCTTTTACTTCCCCTCACAGACATTCAAATGGCTCATCAACACATTCGTGAGCAACACAGATGCAAAGACACACACAAAAAAGATGCTAAACTCCACGATTATTCCTGTCAGAGATTAGCGCGGTGGTTCTAATTGAAGATTATACTGGAGGATTATTAGTGCGGCTACTGAGCTGGAGACGATTATTTGCAGCTGCTGCAGCAGAGGCTGAGCAGGGAGTGACAACCGCAGTGATGGCTGCTTGTGCCACCCGAGCGAGTGCAGGCAGGCACTAGGTGATGGGTTGGGGTAGGCACAATGTTATTCACTCATTCCATTAGTCTAATAAATACAGCTCTCTTGTGACATCTCTGTCAAGCGGGCAAAGCACTGAACTTTGCTAGAGGGGGGGAAGCTGTGCCGGAATAGAGGAGAAAAGGGGGAAAAGAGATAAAATCAGACAACTAGCACTGGAGAAATTACACACATGGCTGTTACAGCCGACTTCCAAGAAATAAAAAGGACAAAGAAAATAAAAAATGAGAGTAATCGAGCGCTAGAGACCGCGCAGCAGACGCAGATAGAGTGGTAATTTGCGACAGATACCAGGCAGGAGACTGAAAGAGATTCACAGATACAAAGAGAAAAATAGCAACATAAAGAGGGAAACGTTGAACGCTGTCAAGTTGGGTATTTGGTGGGGCTGGTTCTTTCATGCACTTCTCATCCCCAGCACCAGTGATGTAATATGACAGTGCAAAGCAGCCCCTCATCCTCCCTTTCTTCCTCTCCCTCTCCATTCCCTGGGATCTCTGGACCTGCACTACACACCTTTGTCCACTTTGGAGGAAGATCATATCTGACTGCAGTCAGCCCCTGGCACTCCTACATTGGTCTGTAAAATACTGCTCCGTCAACCACTTATGGCTTTTGAAGGAGCCTGACTCCTGACCACCAGAGATAACTAGACTGCACCTGAGAAGAGAGGGTCCTGTGTGAATGAGAGGGGGGTTCTGGTCTACCCCTATAGTGAAACCTTGCTCTATTTACCCAGCAGCACCCTGAACCTTTCTAGATTATCAAGGCACTTGATTTCTTGGCTCCTCTTATCCATTTCCATTACAAAAACTAGCATCGAGAGAGAGGTCTAATGCTGGGTTGAAAGAGAAAAGGATGGACAGGCTGACATACATAGAGGAAATCATGGTGCCCGTAAAGTGTGCCTAAAATGATTCCTTAACTTTATATCATATTTTTCATCATTCAAATTTCTTTCTATTAAGAGTTGTGTGGCTGATTCCTATATATTAGTCTTTCACATTATATTTTCTTGTGGCCAACAAATGCCAAAATCAACAGTGAATCAGTCCAAATAAAAGTCAAGCCTGAAAATGTTTATTCACTGAGCTAAGTTATTTTCTAAAAACAAACCCTTCAATGAGCCACACTGTTCCACATTACCGTAAACATAGCCACTGCCTATTTTAAATCGATCCCACATACACTGTCCTGCTGCTGTAAGTACTTACTAATATGTATTAATTCACAGCTGAAAATAGTTCCCAACAAATGTAATATTTACTGCTGTCTTCTGAACGCTACCATGCCCCGCTGTTTTAGAAACTGTATTTTCGAAACCAGATTTTCACAATTTATTTCTTCAGTATGAATAAACACAGCTCAGAGCCACATGATGGGGGAAGTGGGAAGAAGCAGTGTGTTAAGGTAGCCCCCCTCACCAGGAGGGTGAGGGAGGACTGAGGTTGGACTCAAGTTTGCAGACCCAGGTGCTAGGGGGAAAAACATGACGGTAGCAGGTAAAGAAAGAGAACACAAAGTATCAAAAGAACATAACATGGGAAAGTACGGTACTTGGATATGTATGATATGTAGTGTAGTGTAAATGAGCGTAGCTCGTAGGTAGTGTGGTAGAGTCAAGCCAAAACGCACAGTGTCTGTCAGCGTAGCATTCTACCAACATGTACAGTCCACGTTACTATGTTAATGTTCTGGCCCAGACGGAGCATCTGCCAGAAGTTTATAATCATTGGGATGCACCCCAGCTGTGTGCATTGACAAACCAGTTGCTAATTACTGGAATGCAACACAGCTGAGGTGCAGAGCCCACATGATAGAGAGAGCAGAGGAGAGAAAGACAGAGAGGAGAGGCCTGACACAGTGTACTGGCTAAGTTTTAATATAATTGCACAGATTTGTGATAAAGACCCATTACATTTATTAAAGAACTGTGATCAAGATGCATACTGGCAGGGACAGTTGAAAAATTAACAGGTAACGCTGCTTTTTCCACCTTCAAACTTTCCTTCCTTTATATTCCCCACCCACCCGCACACCTGCTCCTAATTCCCTACATCAAGCCACACCTGTGCCTCAACAACTTTACTCTGCTTATATACGTACCTACCCACAAACCCCAGTTCTCATCTACTTTATTTATAATGTACCAGTAGCTGTAGCTGTTGACCCTGTGTTGCCCTCTCTCTGCCGGTTCATTAGCCCTTCCTGTTTCTGGCTTTTACCTGCTCCAGTTATTCTCCACTCACTGCTTTCTTGGTGCTATCACTTACACCACAACTGTCAGTTTTTATTTTTTAAAATGTATTTAACATGTATTTTACCAGGAAGTCCCGCTGAGATCAAGATCTCTTCAAATTATTTAGCCAATCTCACCAAACCCATCATTCACACTAAACCCTTTATGGATGTCATCATAACACTGACTTATTTGTGTGCACCAAAAGCACATCGCTCCTCCTCCCCACTGCCATAAGCATCCATTCATGCTAAGCCTTTGTATGTTCTAACGGATGAGATGTCAAACTATAAGGCTCTGGTGTACTGGTATATTTAACTGAATGAGTCTGGAAGCCTGTATGTCTCTGAAGTGGATCAACTGACTGATACCAGTGAGAGTGAACATGTGCAACAGATTGTATCTGGTGATGACGAAGAAGGTGGTGCCTGCAAACAACAGTGCAGAGCAGCATCACCATCTCTATGTGAGCAAGGACTCTGGAAACTGTAGAGAACTTGCAAAGGGTTGATCACTTTGAACAGGTTTATGTGTCACCTGTGAGGTGATGTAAGTAGCTCCTCCCACACCACCACCTCATGATGCACGCACATTTTCCAACCAACCTCCACATGCACTTTTCTCCTCATGCCCCCTCCCTACAGTTTCTCTATGCAGTTTCTGAGTAATGGGGACAGATGGCTGGCAGCTTCTTGCTGTTTCTTTGGGCTCATTCACCCCTCCTTCCTCTACCGCCCCTGCAACTGATGGCTTGGTTGCAGAGACTCCCATAGAATAGCAATGCGGCCCCTATCTCTCTCTGCAAGCTGAGGGGTTATAGGGGGAGAGGGGGTAGTGCAATGGTGGGGGTGGTTAGAGGGAGGATTACTGCTGACAGAAGAGAAATGCTGTAGGCTTGCAAGTGAGGACAACTGCACAGAGTTTGTGATGTTAGGTTGTATGTGTGTGTGTGTGTGTGTGTGTGGGTTTGCTGCAGGTGTACACTCATGCATGCTTTCCTCTTCTCCTCTATATATATCTGTGCGGCTGTGGGTGTGTGATTACTACCAGTCTTGTACCAGCCTGAGGTACTGCATTGTGTAGGTTCACAAACACTAACTGTACAAAGAAGGACACTGCATGCACAGCAGGCTAACCCAGGGACAAACAAAGGAGAGAGGAGGAGGAACAGACCTCTGAGCAATCCCAAAGCTGTCTATAAATACAGCAGTACAGTAGGTTGTGCAATTATTGGCCTAACAGTATAATTACATCATGTTGAGTAGTTGTTCACACTGACCTATTTATTATTGCTGTCTGTCTGCTGCATTTAATCTGTGTTGCTTCAAGTTACAACAGCAAGTACTGCTGTGTGATAAAAAGTGCTTTAACCATGACTTTGGTGACACTGATCCAGAGTCAGCCTCACAGATAGTCAATTATTTGTTTTTGAAAACTCTTGAAATGTCAAAAATCCTTGCTTTGCTCTACCCCCTTAGGAAATTCATTTGTTATACAGTATGCTAAAAATGTTCCACAAAAAGTGTTGATTTCACATAACTGGTCTTAGAGCTTCTGTGCTTCCAGTTTGCAATTAAGAAGAAATAAAACAAACAGGAGAAAGAGAGCGGATCCCAGGGCAGCAAAGCACCGTCACACACTATAAATAAAAGTGTTGCTAACCTGCGTCTGAAAACAAATCTTTGTCTACTCAGTGTTGTTTACCAGATAGTATGCGTTATGTAAAAATTTACAGCCAACCAACAGAAAACAATATATTTGAAAGTACACAAGTCAAAAGAAACAGATGAAAATGACTGTAGTAAAATACACTGGGCTTTGAGCCATGTGGTCGTATGTGGTTATTTGCCTGACCTTGGAAATTAGTGGTGAAAAAAGATGTGAGCAGAAAGAAAATAAATGCAGTGCTGATCAAACCAAACAATCCAACTTTATCTAACAAGATGTGCACCCTGATCAGTTTTGATCCCACATAATGATAGAAGCTAAAAATATCCGATTTAATACCATAAGTGGCTGTTAGCATCAGTTGGCATTATGATGCTGGTCGACAGGGTGGATGAAGACAGATGCTGATGATTATGGGCGGCACGGTGGGGATAATTATGTATAATGTGTGGTTATTTGGGACAAAACAGTGGGGCATAGGGAAAATACGGGGGTATGAATTTAAAATGGGGATAGACTAAACAGCTGGGTTAAAAAAATGATGACAGGAATAGGGGATAAGGATGTAGACATGAGCTGAATGCTGATAGGCTTTTAGGCTAGAAGGATAAACATGGACCAGGAACAGGGATAGGGATGAGTGTGGAGACAGGGAGATAAAGGTGAAGCTGTGAACAAGAGATCTCTGGATTTGGAGACAAGCAAACAAGAAAAGGTAGCTTACATTTCTGGTCTTTCCAGGTGACTGTGGGCTCAGGCCGACCAACTGCCAGACAGTAGAGGTTTACATTCTCTCCCTCGTTCACTGACACATTTTTGGAGATGTTGACGATTCTGGCTGGCACTGGAAAGCAACATGATGTTACTGAAATATGACCTCAAATCCTCTTTTCATTTCATAAATTATTGATAGGGCACAGTATGGCCTTACAGCATATTAAAGTGTTTAAAGTAAATCCCTGTACCTCAGGCAGACTGGCAATCAGCTGATTAATGATCTGTGCCTGAGAGCTCACTGAACTGTACAACAGTATGCTTGACCATGTACTTAAAATGCACAATACTAAATTGCTGCAAATGGACATTAAAACCTCCTTCTCCTGACATCTAATCTAATTTGATCTTTAAAGAAACAGACGGGCATCCATGAAAGAGGTAGTCAGAGAATTTTTACTTCTACTTTTTAAGTGAATGACCACCCCTCAGTATCATTTTGCCCCAAACTCACAAAGTGTTTGAGAGCTATGCATGTAGTTAGTTTGATAACAAGATGGCCCTTGAATTTAAATAGCCCATTATCATTGTTTTAATGAGCTTGGCCCTGAGATTGCTTTTTACGAGGCATCTTTTGAGGAGCCTATTTTTCTCTATCTTACTGGAGCTGAATACTTGCAGAGATAAAGCACAGATTGGAGTAGTGGTGAAGCTACTCCTGCTTGATGCAGTAACTTGAGGGTGTAATTATTTTGTGCGATATCAAGCTATGGCTGAAATTGCTGGTGACTTGGAATTAGGTATATATGGTCATCTGTGCCAAGCTTCGAACCCTGCAGACAAGAATTTGTTTGGCTCCAGTGCAATGAGAAAACTCTGTTAGTAAGCGGCTGATATTGTCTTTGCCACCTGTGAGCCAGGCTGTGTGTTGGCCTGCAGAAGGTACCTAATATATCCCATTAAAAGTTCCCAGTTTCATCCTACTGGTGATGTATAACCGCAATCTGTACTACACACAGACCAAAATACGCATAAAAACTGACACATGGAGGGGGAAGAGGTCTTAGATCCATTCTGCTGTGCAGTCTTGTGCCAATACAACATGTCAGTCAGGATCAGTCAGACTCTCACTCACTTAGCTGCTGACTTGATGACTGAGCCCTGGTTGTGGTCTTGTACTGTCAGTTATTTAGTCAGGCAGTTGGACAAGCCCCTGTGTACCTCATCTCACACAAATCCTCAACCATCTGATCTGCCTAACCCTTGGTTCATTAAGCCAAATAACCCTAACAGGCCACATGAAAATAACAAACGGGCTTGGGCTCACATTTTCTTATTGCAATTGGCTTTCTGGTTTATCTGTCAGTTGCATTTCTGTAGCCACACACACACACACACACACACACACACACACACACAGGCCAACTTATGAAATAATCAGGTAATTACATTTTGATGTAAACACAACCTTAAATAGTCAAACATCATGAATATAAACTACTAAGTTGTCTATCATAAATGTAAGCATGATTTAATACAAAAGGAGCACTGAAACATAACCATAAAAAACCTTAATTGCTTCCCCTGACGTCAAATCTCAATTACTTCCAATAGACAGTATTATGCTTGGATGAATGACAAAATGCATAATTAAGCTATTTCGTAGATGTTTTATCCAAGACAGCTTACAGTACCATGAGTGCACACGTTAATTTTTTTCGCAGTCACAGTAGCAATCAAATCTGCAGCCTCTGGATATATTAGGGAAATGAGTCACAACTTTTACTGGATGCAGTGAACACTTTAAAGCATTTATAACTGATGCCTATTCTGTCACAATTCAGCTGCTAACCTTGGACAATGAGGTAGACGTTGGCGATGCGCGGCTTGTTGTTGGCCTGGAAGGTGCAGGTGTAGGGCCCCTCGTCGGTTACTTGCACCTTGTCGATGTGGATGGAGAAGTCGCTGTTGTTGCTGTTGACCAGTGTCACACGTTTGTCCAGAGACCACTTGTCTGTTCCCGTGAACAAGATGTTAGAGCGGTCCGTGGATCACTTCCTCGTCGATCCGACATCTGTGAGAAGACAATAAGTGGTCAAAGGCATCAGTGCTGACAGGTGTTTTAATGTTAGTGGCCATATTCTATAATGGTTTGACAAAATAGTTCTTGTAAATAATTTTGGTTGGTATAGTTTGGTATTTTTAGTTTGTTAGTAAAGAGCTGAGCACCCATAATTTACCAGAACAGCTTATAGTACACCTTGGAATGGACTATACAAATCTCACGTAGGTTATTTAAGGTACGGAACAACAGTCTCTCCCAATATATCCTCTCTTTTGGTGTTTTGTAAAAGTGGAGAGCATTGTGACTGTTTGTTCTGTATTTGTCTGTAACCTCTTGCACAATAACTGTTGTGGTGATTATAGTAAGAAGCAGTAAATCAAATTGACTCTATGGCAAGGTATAAACCAGGAGCCATGGGCCAAAGGTGTGACTTCAGTTCTTGGCTTGGCCACTAGATGTCCTTACCCAGCTTCAACTAATTTGAGGACATGCCTCTGTAGTTCTCATGTTTAAGTGATATGACCTTGTTGATGTAGGCCCTGGATTCTGTGCCAGGTCAGTGGCAGTGACAGTGAATAGGAAGCACAGAATAAGTAAAGCTGGAAGAACAGGCTATAAGGCCGGGTGTCCAGGTTGCCATTTGACCTATGTGGCCCAAACAAGTGGTCAAGTGATAAGTGGTCCCTGTGGTAATAGGAACATCGGGGGCTGTGACCCCCAAACTGGGAGAGTGGCTCCAACAGATTCCAGGAACAACATCTGAGATCTCTGTCCAGAAGAGTGCAGTGCTAGGAACAGCTAAGATACTGCACAGGACCCTCAAGCTCCCAGGCCTCTGGTAGAGGAGCCGAGCTTGAAGGAAGGAATGAGACCACCCCGGAGTGGGGAATTTTTTTAATATAAATATATATGAGACAGTTTGTGGCTGGTGGGCTTTTATCTTAAATAAATAGTAAAAAAAAATCACCATAAAAAACATTATCTGTGCACAAACACTCTATTAATCTATTTTTAAAATTAATCACTTCTGCACTGATGATGTTGCTACAAGACTGCAAGCCCAGAGGAAATGAGCACCATAATAACATCAAAATGTGCCTCGTCTTAATGGCCCGCATCAAAACCAACGTGACAACATTGTCTCAGGCATAAAATAAGTATTTATGCCACTTGGGCAAAAGTGATTTTACATTTAATTTGTGTGTATTTATAAAGCTCTTTATTCTTTTGTTTGTCAGCTGTTGACTGTCCAATGCCACACACACATCTGTTCTACTGATGAGGCTATAAAGGCAGTTCTGTGTTGTGAAATCAAACTTCCACAATTGAGAACTGCAAGGGCGATTTAAAGCAATGGTTCCCAAACTGGGATCAGGACAGGTTGTAAACTAAGTCTGAGAGGTTGCATGATTGTTAATAGGGGAGCAACACAGAAAAACATATACTGTATGCCACACAGAAAACAGGCTGACCTTTTCTGATGTTTATCAAAAGATTTTTTCATGTGAATTACTGGAAAATAATCAAAGTATTTAAATAAAATAAACTGAGAACTAATAATCAGCCCTGGGCTGAACTGGTCAGAACCTGTAGACTAATGCCACTTGTGTAGAGGATTCTTGGATACTTGAATACTGTGGATTTTGTTTTAAGTGTGCAAAAGGCTTGGGAACACTACTGTTTATAGCCAGAAACCAGAGTGACAGCTGCTTACAGTGCTTATAATCCACCGACAAACTGTAAAAGGATAAGAAATGACAGTGAGAGCACTTAGGTGCATTCAGTTTAGAGTATTAGGTGTGAAAGCACCCAAATAAATTCTATAGATTTGACTTCTGCACAGCATTAGCAGACCAACTTCAGGCTACACATGGTGATGACATAATTGATCAGTATCCTGGTTGTTTGATTTTCAACTTTGAGAGAGACTTGATGTTAACAGCTATTGAACTGTACTTGTCTTTAGAATAACATTCAACATTTGATTTTAGTTGAAGGCCTGCTTTGGTTTCAAAGAAAAAAAGGACTAAAAGAGGAGAATTGTAGGCTTAAAGCTGATGAAAGTAATGTCGACGTTTTTCTTTTTGCACTGCTGAGTATACTGCCAAGCCAGGTCATATCCATGCAAGGGAAAAAGCAAGCTGGCTGTTTTTCTGCTTGGCTGGGAGCTAGAAAAAGCTACAATTTCTACTTGGTCACTCACAGTTAGACAGGTGTGGTTGGCTGCAGAGGAGGTCCACCCACTGAGACTGGTGCATCAATATTGTTAAAGTCACATACGTAAAAAGAAAAAGTGATTGTAGATTTACTGGCTGACTCCTGTAACATCTGACAAGTATTATTATTCAATTAACTATAGGAAGGAGAATTGGAAAATATGGAACAATGTGGGATGCCTAATTGACGTTATGTGACAGAGAATTGGCAATTAAAGCAGCATGACAGGTGGGGAGAAAGAAAAGCAAATGTGTTTTTCATGTAATTAGTTGGTGCAGGTGTAGGATCAAGAGTTACCTCAAAGTGACGCTTTCTCCTTCCAGTATTGTAATGTTGTCCGGCAGGTGTCCGAATTCTGCTCCGTGCACATTGAACCCTGCCAAGAGAAAAGATAGGGGAGACCAATGAGTATCCAGTAATGGCACCAGACGCTCAGGTCAGGTGCTTGAGAATCGACCTACCTCACCAAGTCAGGTTGGGCAAGTATGTGCTTTACATCCTGCTTACTTATTTCTGAAGGGATAGTAATAAATATACTAAACAAAGGAGTCACAGTGTCTGCACTGACCCCCGTACTTGAATAATGATTTGGTTTTACCCTGCATTCTGGTGGAATGTGCATTCATTGAACAGCACTGATAATGAGCCAAGGGAAGAGGATTCACGCGGAGCTGCTGAAGCATGAAATGAAAGGACAGCAACGGTAACAGAAGGGATGCTCATCCTGCCTACCAATACACACACATACACACACAGAACACAGCCACATGCTTAAAAAGCGCAAAAACACACATCCTGAGAACCATTAGTTGAAGAGGAAATATGAACTTGGCATCTGTGAGGTGTGTTTGACACACTCTGGTGAGAAACTTTAAAATGGTTTGAAATTATTTTTGTGAACTTGCTTGGCCTGCAAACAAAGATAACCCAGGACCTTTATATGCTGACAGTGATAATGCCTACGGAGGCAGGCCGCTCTCAGTAAGACATCTGGCTCTGACCATCGAAACTCTGCAAAATCACAGCAGGACACCAGATACCTCAGCTTGTACTTTCAGTCCATCTTGGACAATCTTTCCCTCTGCCTGCAAGATGACCTCAATATCTCAATAGGATTTTGCTGCGGTCTAGCCTTGAGGTTTAATAAATGGTGACTTTATGAAATGAAGCCACTGCAGTTAGGAGCTAAGAAGCACCTCCAGGTTTGTTAAATAGCTCCACAGAGCCAAAGACACGTTAAGCATGCTGAAAGGGAATCCGCTAAGAGATGAGACCTAAAATGATGGCAAGGCACCGTTAAATGGACAGGAGATGTGGGTTTTAAATTAAAGGAAGACACATGGTTAGATTACAAAAAATATTTAAAGAGACTTTAGAATTATAATACACATGGATTGCTAATCAAAAGCTTTTCAAAATGCATAGCAGAAAGTCCAAAGTGACAACTGCACTAAAAGATTTACATTTCATAAAAAGACTAATTATGCTTGTTTTCTTATCTGCATGTTTGTGAATATAAAACTGTGGTCTGACATATCTGCATGGATATATCATGGTATATATAGTGTATATTCAAGCTTATATATTCATATAGTTATGGGTATGATCATGTGCATGCACCAACATGTGTTGCTCATGATTGTTTAACCCTTTACAGTATCTAGGTGTCTGTTATTCATGGGCAGAGGTGGGAAGTAAGGAAGTATTTCTTTACTGTACTTTAGATTTTTAAGGTATCTGTACTCTACTTGAGCATTTTCTGGCAACTTTTTAATTTTACTCCTTACATTTTAACACATCTGTACTTTCTTCTCTTTACATTTTCAAATCAGGCTCATTACTTTTACTTTTAATACATTTGAGGGGAATTAAATTATTTTTATGTAGCATTTGCTGACGAATGTGTACATCGTTGCACTGGGTAATCTGTCTTCATTACAAGCTCTCTGCTTTGTTTACAGTCCGCCAGCTCCTCACCCATTGCCCAGTTGTTTTACTTGAGACACTGTAGAAATTGGTGGTCATTTGAAGCTTTTGGAGAAACATTTTTAACAAATACACTGGTCTGGTGTTTCATAATGAAGAAACGTGTCACTCAGTGCAGTGGCGTGTTTCACTTATGTGTTTTTAATCGTTTTTGAACAACAAGGGAGGTTGATGGCACAGCCAAAAAAACTACTTCAGGTTGGAGACTGACAGATATTAAGTGTGAGACACAATTCATTGGTTGGTTTTAGTCTCTGTATGGCACATGTGTCAAACTCAAGGCCCGCGGGCCTCATCCGGCCCCGTGAGATCATTTTATATATCTTTTTTTAATGGCCCTGCGATATGAAGCGCCGATAACACACAAACTACAAATCCCATAATGCAGTGCAACAGCTGCCTTACCAAATGATAGGCTACCTGCGATCAATCCCGACTCAATCACTTCTGATCAATCAAGGGTCTGTTGATGCATACAACCCTAATTTCAGGTCAAAGCTAGCTCCTAACAATGGCCAAGAGAAAAGTTGATTCTGAAAACAGAGCCTTTGAAAGTCGGTGGGAGGCTGAGTATATGTTTACTGACATTGCCGGTAAACCCGTGTGTCTTATTTGTGGAGCTAATGTGGCTGTAATTAAGGAATATACAGTAACCTAAGACGGCACTACGAGACAAAACATCAGGACAAGCTGAAAAATGTGAATGGAGAGCAGAAGCTACAGAAGGTGGAGGAGTTGAAGAGGAATCTGACATCACAGCAGACGTTTTCACCAAAGTGAAATCACACAGTGAAGCTGCTGTGAAAGCAAGTTTTATTGGGGCAGAGGAGAAAATCAGCCCGGACATTTACCGAGGGAGAGTTTCTGAAGAGCTGCATGATGAAAGTGTGTGACGTCTTGTGTCCAGACAAAAAGCAGGTGTTTGCAAATGTAAGCCTTAGCAGAAATACGGTTGGTGATTTTAAGTTCAAGTTCAAATGGCATAATAGACTTGGAAATACAGTATATTAATATGATGCAAAGTTCAGTTAGGTTTGCACAGAAACAACTGTTAGAAACATCCTTTGAAGGACTACTTTTATACTTTGAGTACACTTCAGAGCCTATGTGTTTTTTTTATTTTACAGGAGTTAAGAGCTTGACTCAGTATAGGGGCAGCTGTGGCTTAAGAGGTAGAACAGGTCGTCTCCTAACGGGAGGGTTGGTGGTTTGATTTCTATCTTTTCTGGTCTACAAGTCGAAGTGTTCTTGAGCAACACACTGAACTTTTTTTAATTGCTCCTGGTGGTATCAATGCTGTGTGAATGCTGTGGGGGAATGGAAAATAGTGTAAAGTGCTTTGAGTGTGCTTCAGTGTGCAGAAAAGTGCTGTATAAGACCTTTAACTTATATCTTTACATGGGTATCTGTGCATCTACTTGACTAATTTATGTGTGTACTTTCACCATCTCTGTTCATGGGTGTGAGTGTGTATAGTTGTTTACTGACATACCCATGAAGCAAGAAAAGAGGACACACTAATGATGGCTCCAAAGAAAATTGGCGGAAGAATTCTCCCACTAAAGTTATAATTGCATTAATAGATGCTGATGCTGCCAGCTATATTATATAGGCTGGTCAAAGATCCCAGAACTGGCTCCGTTAATCTCTCTCGCTCTCTCTGAAAGCCTTGGGGCAGGGGCGTGGCACACTAGCAATTGTGTCCAGTGATCAAAAACTATCACAAGCTTTTGTTAATCTGTGGTTCTCACTATGGAGTAGTGTTGCATAATGTTACTGCAGTCATGTTTCCTGTCTTAGACAGTGCTCAAGCCCTCAGCTGTTCCCTTTCAAGTGCTTAGTATCTACACGCTAGAATTTATTTAGGTTAATTCAATTCCTTTCAAGAGCTTGGGGCTCAGAGACAGGTGTGACATGCTGTCATAAACACACACTACGCCACATACGGAATTACTGACACACACACGTAGAGAAAAGATGCTCTATGTGACAAAATGTAACCGCAGGGATGTGCACACATTTTGACTGAATGAATGATGTTTGCGCACACTGAATACTCCAAACAATGTTGTGAAGGTCACAAACCAGTGGAGAGCTATTCCCATTTCCCTACTCAATTCCCATTTTCACAGCTCGATTGGCACCTCGTATTCTAAAACCTGTATCACCCTGCCTCTACTCCCAGTCGCCGCACAACATGATAACCAGGTCAACACATTCAGCCCACACATCCTCTCACACCCTGCATCACATGGACCAATCACAGACATGCAAGGTTACATGCACAGACGCGAACACGCCCTATGCCAAACCAGCAGGGATGAAGGTTTGTCAGAGTTCACAGTGGCAACAAACACAGCAAAGATTCACTTCACATCCGCTGTGGAAAATATGACTTCATCTGGACACACAGAACCACACACATACATAAAAATTTAATTTCCACTGTCCATGATTTGTGCACACACTGTATAATAGTTGTTAACCTCTGTCACTCACTCTGAATGCTTGGTGCACACTGAGATTCTTGCAGTGATCTGGTAAAACTGTAAACTTCACCCAAAAGTTATGCTGTAAAAATTAGCAGCTTGTGTAGAACAAGCAAACAAGATCAAAAGGACGATGCCCGAGAGCCCAAGAAGTTCATAACACAGTTGATGGTGATTTTATGCAAAAAGGACCAAAATTAAACAGATGAAAAAAAAAAAATCAAAGACATTCTTCAGATAAATAGTAAAAACAAGCTTTATTCCAATGGCTCTCTCACAGTGAGAATAAAAATTATACATATTCATATTTCCCCTTAAGTAGATGTGAGACACTTGTAAACACCTGGTCATAACAGGGAACCAATCATCCAATTCATGGCTAAACACCAGCAGGTGGCCACACAAGGAATCAAAGAGCATGCACATATAAACCCTGCCTGGAAGAGATGGTGTAGATTTAGCTCTTTTACCCTTCTGCTTTTTTGTGCAGTTCCAATGCAAACAAAAGAAATAAACATGAGAATTTGTGATTGCAACAATTTTCCGGGAGAAGTGGTGCGTTATCTGACAGAAATCCAGGGGTGCCAGTATATTTGGCCATGACTATATAGAAGTAACCACAAGTACATGGCAGATATACAACAAATGTAGTGTAAAAATAATGAAGGATTTTATATCATCTACCTTGTGAGTTCTATAATCACAAAATTGTTTACATTCTTTTATGTTACAGTGATTGCAGAAACCACATTTATACAGTAGGTACCATTCTAAGTGTTATTATTGCTGGCCAGAAGATCACTATGTACTAACCTATCTCTCAAAATGGGAGCTCTTCTAAAACTGATCTTGGGAGTACCTGGAAAAACTTTCCTTCGGGTGGGATCACTTCCACTTAGGT